CAGATAACCTTTGCAAAAAGAATATTGTTTATCAATAAAATAACAAAAAACCATTCTTTATTAGTTATAGAATAATGATTTCATTATTATTAATATTATTTTGCGATCATATCAAAAAGTGAGTTTTTACCAAATAAATGTTTTTTAGAAAAATTTCATAATTTAGTAGTTTTTCTAAAATTTTCAGCATTTTATTCTATTTCCACTGTTTTATTAATATAACTCTTTTGATATTTTTTAAGCTTTTTGCTATTCATGTGTATCAAATTTGTTTAGAACACCATTTAAAAAATAACATTTGTTTGATAGAAACTCCTTTTCTTATGAACAACGAACAGGGTAAATATGATGGATGGAAGAGAGATTTATAATTTTTTTCTAGATAAAGTTTGAAGCATATTGAACTTATCTTAGCATTGGTTTAAGGATCGAGTTTAACATATTGGATTGGTTATGGAATTTTTCCAGATAACGAAATTCTTGGGTTGGATATGGTTATAATATTTGTGTTATACCCATCCGATTATCTAATCTTATTTACCATACTCCAAACCATTTATATTATAATAATTAGTAAACGGTATAAAATTAATAACCATTTACTCTAGCTATTCCAATAACTTGAACCTATAACACCGTTTAAAATTAAAATTGAAAAATACTGACCCTAAGATTTATGGCGTTTTGTTCTCATGTCTCCAAGTTCGTCTCAAGTCCAAAAGATATTCGTTTGATATTAAATTTGTTGATGTTAAGAAAAATTGGATTTATTAAAAAAAAAATTAAAGTCATATTTTTTAATTGATTGTGCTATGATTTCACATAATGGAAATTTCAATAGCTAACTTTTAACATATTAGGATTATAAACTAGGATTCCTAATCCCCAAGGTTATCTGTAAATTAGATGGTTATTTTGGAATGAGGTATTCGATGGGTCGGGATCCGGTTTAAAATACAATCTTTTAATCATATATTTGAGACTAGAAAAAAAAATACCCGTCCAATTAGGGGTGTCGAACGGGTAAAATTTTTGGGTTTCGGGTAGAACAGGTATTTCCTTAAGAAAATAATACCCGATACCCAACCTATATTGTAATTCGGGTTTTCGGGTTTCGGGTATTCGGGTTTGAGATTGGGTCGGGTAATTATCAAGTATACTCGAAAATTTCTTAAATTACACTAATTGATAATTTTTTAATTTTTTATTTTTTTATGTTGGTTGGTTCACTACAAAAAAATTCCTAAATAACTACGGAAAGTTGCTACGGAATCAAAATCCGTAGCTATTTTACTACGGAATAGATTGTTGTAGTTTTTTTGCAACATAAATGGCTACAAAATTGTATTTCATAGCTAAATTATAAATAGCTACGTAAAATTGCAACACAATCAAAATTTGTAGCTATTACATTACGGAAAATGCTACAGAATGGATGGTCGTAGCTATTTTGCTACGGAAATGGCTACGGTGTTGAATTTCAGTGGCTAAATCCTGAATTGCTACCGAAAGTTGCTACGTAATTGAAATCTGTAACTATTTTACCATAAAATATGCTACGGGATTCTTGGTTGTAGCTAGTTCGCTATGAAACTTATTACAAAATCTATACCCGTAAGTAATTGGCTACAAAATTTTCTACGAAATTAAAATACGTAACTAGTTGGCTACGTACTTGAAATCCGTAACTATTTTTTCTATAAAAATTTACTACACAATAAAAAGTTGTAGCTAATCTACTATGTAATTAGTTATGAAAACGTTAACCATAATTATTTTATTTTGTCCTATGGGTTGCATTTTGTGCGAGATATTATAAACAATACATGTATGTTAGCAAAAATATGTATATGGATAGTCTGAAAGTCATATTCGAAATGCTTTATCTCGCACAAGAAAAAAGTTTGTGACGATTCAAAATGAAATTGCTTTATTTACAATGCAATGTAATTTTTCGACTAAGGTTGTCAATTTAATTACTCCCAAAATTTTGGATCATTTTTGTGATTATGGCATTATTTCAAGTCTAAGGGGGTATTCATGTAGATCTTGCAAACATCAGGGGCTATGATAGCAAGATAAATGAGTCGGAGGAAGTTTAATCGCAGCTCTCAAGTCTCAATTTATTGTCTCTCTCTCATATCGATCTTCTATTTCTCTTTTTTCAGTAATCGATCAATTAAATTATGGAATATTAGTTAACGATTGCATCATCATCAACATGAGGAAGCGAGATTTAGCAAATGCTCTATGCTTTCGCCCTTTTCTTTTCCATTTCAGGTAAATCAGATTATCTCAATTCACTGTGTTAATCGACCTCAGAACCCTAGAGCTGTTTAGTTTCTTATTTTTTTTAGTAATTTGTACTTCTAGTTGAAATTGAATGATTACTACGTCTAATTTGACAATACGACGAAGGCGATTTTACGTTGAAGGAGGTGTGGTGCAATCTATTGGATGAATATCCAATTAAATACGAGGGGGAACCTATTGTGTCCGATCTTAATGGCGATCGAAAGAAAGAGGTTCTTGTGGTTACTTATGACACTAAAATTCAGGTATTGTGTATCTAGTTCGTAGAATCAAATTTGCGGTTTCAATTGAAGGCCATTCAAGCACGTTTGATAGCTTATAAGGATTGGTTCGTGCTCAAATAGTTTCAAAGTATGAACGATTTGGTGTTATATTCTTATCCCAAACCTCTATAGTCTTCTTCTTCCAAGCATACTCTCAAACACTTTAATTTTTAATTTTTAACTGAGTGTTGCTCCAAACGAAATATGGCTATTAGTTGCTATATAATCTTGTGTTATATCTTATATTAGCAGATACACTTTTAGCATTTGCAACTTAAAAATCAATGGGTACTACTACACTACTATGCTTTTAGTTATATTTATAACCACCTTTATTGAGATTGGAGTTATGAATATGTTCTTTGTCTTCTTGTACTTAATTTTTTTCATGTTGATCAGGTTTTAGAACCTCACTAGGCGTGTGGATGAAGGATTTAGTGAGGCTCATGTTCTTGCAGAAATAATATGGTTACCTGATAAAATTTGTTGCTTTGGGCAGATGTGAGTAGCCATGGGAACAGGGGCAGTTGACTGAACTTTCAAATGTGGTCATGTACAAAACCAAGTCTTGGTTGTTGTGACATCAGGTTGGTCTATAATGTTCATTTATCATAACCTCCAAAAGCTATGGGAAACAAATATGCAGGTCAGTTTTTTTTATAAAATTTGCATAAATCTCAGTTTTTATGGCCAACTTTAATTGCATTCTAGTTTTTTTAGGAGGATTTCCCACACAATGCTCACCATAGAGAAATGTCAATTTTATTTAAGTAATTATACATCAAAACATGGAGATGTTGGACTTGTATTGTTGGAGGAATGATGGAAATGCAGCCACATCTATGTCTCTTTAACTCTTCTGTTTTTATATATTCATTAATATAATTTATAACATTGTCTAAAAATTGAATAATCATTTATTTCTACACTATTTTAGATGCACCTTGATCCGTTTGAAGAAATTAAAATGGCCGAGGAAAGTGCAGATAAGCATCGAAGAAGCGGAAGCGAAAAAGAAGTAACAAATTTTGAAGTTTTAATTCTTTCTTAACTTTTTGTTTCTAGTGTTTTTCAAATCAAATTATATATATATATATATATATATATATATATATATATATATATATATATATATATAAGCATCGAAGAAGCGGAAGCGAAAAAGAAGTAACAAATTTTGAAGTTTTATTTGTTTCTTAACTTTTTGTTTCTAGTGTTTTTCAAATCAAGTTATATATATATATATATATATATATATATATATATATATATATATATATATATATATATATATATATATATATATATATATATATATATATATATATATATATATAGATGCATCATCAGTTATTGATTTACGCCATTTTGCAATTAATGCTTTTGCCGGGGCGAACCGGTGTGCTTCGCTAGAGTAGAAAGAATGAGATAATAATTATATCTTATAGATTATTACTTATTCAATTTACTAACATTTATTCTCTTATTAAAAGAACTTGGAAGCCACTCCATCAGATGAATCTCCACTAATTCCATAACATAATTATAAACTCGATGTTCAAGCTCTTAATAGGCATCAACCATGAGAACCTAGCAAACTTGTTGTTTTGTGTAAAGCACATGGTGACACCTTTTGTGATTTACTTAAAAATCAAATTATTTAAACTTATGAATTCAAAATCAGTTGTTTAATTTTGTTGAATCTTGTACAGCTAAAGAATAACATAGTTGGAATGCAGTCCCCTTATAGCTTCTTTGTCTCGCATAATTGGTCTTCAATATGATCATATTTTGATCGAATTACCAGGTGTGAATTTCATTTAGATTTTAGAATATTTCCCTTGGTCAAATCTTGGTTGACTGAATTTGTTGCAGGGGCATAAATATCGACTTGCCCTCATAGCATATATGCTTTTAGAGTTTTAGTTTTCAATATTAAAATTTTTGGTTTTTGTCAATGTTAAGTATTCCTTTGGACAAGGGCTTATACACTATAAGTTACCAAAAGGTAACATCGGGAGCATCAGGATTCATATTTTATGCATTATATTTACTGGTAAATCAAATTAAAATATAAAATATATCAAAATAAAATGTGTATTTATTTTAAGACGTGTAAATCATTATATTGTATTGTACAGGTGAACAGATGGAGGTATACAATGTTTGTGTTGAATGGATGAGAAAACATTCTTGAAGCATTTTTATTTTTGTCACATCAAAACTTTTATTGATTATGTATCCAATGGTATTTTATGTTTAATTTGTTGCAACTTTTGATTTTGAAATTGTATTTTTTTTGTACTGGATATTTCTTTTAGTTCTTATAGAAATACTTTATTACTTTTGGTTTTATATTAATTGTATTTTTATAAATTGATATAAATAGTAAAATTGAATAACCAAAATTTATTGAATAATTGTATGGAACAGTTTCTATGGTATTGGGTACAGAATTTGTTATGGAAAATTGCTATGGAATTTGCTATGAAAAGTTGTTATGGAATTGGCTATGGAAAAATCGCTACAGAATTTGCTACGGAAAAATCATTATGGAATTCGCTACGGAAACATTGCTACGGTATTGGTTACGAGAAAATTTCTACGGAATTTGCTACGGATAAATCGCTATGGAATTTGTTACGGAAAAATCATTACGGAATTTGCTACGGACAAATTGCTACCGAATTAGTTACGTAAAAATTTTTATGGAATTTGCTACGGAAATACTATGTAGCTCAAATTGCAACGAAATAGATATCGTAGAAACTGCTATAGTAAAATTGCTACGAAATTATAATTCCGTAGCTAAACATATTGCTACAAAAAATAATGCTACGAAGTCTAATTGAAAATTTATGTAGCAAATTTCGTAGTTAATCAACTTTAGCTACAGAATTTTAACTTTTTGCTACGGAAATTTTCCGTAGCCAAATTAAAATTTTCTTGTAGTGGTTTAATAAAGAATTGGGTAGGAAAATACTTCATACAATTAACAAGTACATATATAATAACAATACAAATCATTATAATATGTTATGTACTTTTTTAATTCTATTCCGTGCGATAGTGAGAAACTGAGAATTGTGATGACAGTTCAGGATTTCAGCTTCAACGTCGTATTCCCTTTGCAAGTTTGCATCGACTGTCGAACCGTCGTTCATAAGAAGGAAATATCATTATTTTATGTTAAAATATCTTTATTTTTTTTTATTAAAATATCATTATTTTTTTGCTGAAATATCATTTTTTTCCTTTTTTTTTATATTGAATAATAATAATTTATTGATGAAATATCATTATTTTATGTTAAAATATCTATATTTTTTTTTATTAAAATATCATAATTTTTTCCTGAAATATCATAAAATTTTGCCAAAATGTTATACATTATTAAATTTTCGGTATTAAAAATCTATTTTCGGAATATAAAATCAGTTTATTTTAATATTTTAATATCTGCAGCAACATGCAGATGTTAAAAAAATAAACATGCTTCTTATTACAGTTGCAACCATTTGGTCCACATCTTCTACTGTAGAGGGTTGCAGAAGTGGTCTGCAGACTTTATGGATTTTTGCTTAAAAAAAACAAACAATACCTAAATGTTTTGCAGCAAATAAATGTGTGGCTGAGAATGATTCCTTTATTTCCAATTTTTTTTGTCAATTGAACCCTCATATATATATCTTAACTATCTTATAAAAGAAATCTTGTTATTTCTAAAAATAAGTTGAATATAATAATAATATTTTTTAAGATGTCCAAACCATTAAACTAATAGTACAAAATCATTCAATATAATAATATTATAATTTAGAATCGTACAAATAATATTTCATAATGTACATAAGAGTTTAAGGGTCAAACCTTATCCTTTGAATAAAAAATAACAGATAACCTTCTTATTTGAAAAACTCAGTCAACATAAAAAACCGGCGAACATCTTATGTTTCTTCCCCCATAATCGGACACATTTTCCCCAATTGCATAAGTCGACATCCTCTAGAAACCCTAGCTCCCCCTCTCGATCTCACGGTCTCCTTGAACTTGCAATCCGTTCAATCTGGTAAGCTTTTATGTGTTTTATATGTTCTTTTCTTTGTTGAATACCTAAACTAACAAAAAAAACTTATTTTTATGGAAGTTTTTTTGTTTTATTTCTGCTAACTTGAAAGCTTCTTTCAAATTTTTATGTGTGTATGCTTACTGTTATTCTATTTGCTTAAATTCAGAATTGTGGGTTAGCTGCTGTTAGTGTCGAGTCTTGAACTTTGATACCAAAATGGGTACAACTTATAATGATTTCTTTATGGGTGTTGCTTCTCAGATTTCGGCTCCCTCCCTCCCCTATATTTGGTGTTTTTCTGTTGAAAGAAAGGGCTATCAAGTTTAATTTTTGCACTTTCATACGAAATAATCAAAAGAATTTCGAGTCTACAAATTAAGAACATCCACCACCAATTTTTTCTGCAGGCGCCATGAGTTTTTTTGAAGTCAGATCTATTTTTTGAAGACAAATCATACCAAGATGACACCATCAATTTAGTTCATATGGTAATTTTTTGTTGTAATTTATTTTTAAATATTTTAAATGTATAGAAATCCTTCATCATCGTCTCTTTCTCTCAACTTGATTATATTGATTCTTATTTCATGGTTATGGGATTACTGGTGTCATTATTCTTTTGATATAATTGTTCCACTGTTCAAGGCTTTGGGACTTTTGGTTTTGTTGTAGGAAGTGCTAACGGAGGTTGCTTCAACTATTGATTATTGGAAATGTACTACATAAAATATTAAGATCATGCTTACTTCTGTTTAGAGTTTTGAGTTAATGTGTGTATTTTTAATTGTTGAAGGTGTTGGTCATGAAACGTAACAAGGCTCAGATTTGAGGCGCTACTGGTCAAGAAATTATGGTAATACTTCCTGAACATTTAGACTGTAATAAGCATTATGTCATGTGATAAAAAACAATAACCAACAAATAAACAAGGAATCTAACGGGAAATTTAAAAAGGGAAAAGAGGCTTCAATTTCACTAAAATGGAAATGTAGATACAATGAAAAAAATCAGAGAAGATAACCTAATGGTTAACCTTCCCGTCTAATTCAAAGAAGATAACATGATGGTTCATCTTCCTGCCCAAGCTATTGCTATCCGATTCCTTCTAACCAAAAATACAGAAGATATTCCCAATTACTACCAAGACTCTTATTTACACTTAGCTAAGGAGTTTCTAGAATGGGGTGTAAAACAGTAAATAATAAATATTCCAAATAAGTCCCTCCATCTTTGCCCTTATATTTATATAGGACTCATTCTCTATCATCATGTTTTTGTTCTCATTTAATTTGTGTTATACAATCTTTGTTTGAGAAAGAGGTACTTGTGTCATGTTTGTGTATGTGTGGTGCTTGGCTGTGTTTGATGTGTACATGTGCAATGGTCAGGTGACTTTCATATGTCTGATGTGTAAGTCTTATGATATAGCAACATACTCACATTTGTTGTTGTTTACAAAAATCTGAGTAAGCTACAGATGGCTGATTTCCCATGTTTCATCTTTCACTTACTTATATGCTTGTCAAACACTTTGTTGTATATACTGCTAATTCATTAAATGCGACACATTCATAGGCCCTTTGTAAAGGGTATTTTAGGTAGACAGATGGAATGAACAAAGGAGAATGCCCCTAATAATAACCCACATGACAAAAAGTCTAAAGTTAAACCGTCGGAAATGTATATATCACCTCAAAATATAATAACTATTTTTTCAGTGGTTAAAAAACTTTTTGGGTTTTATAACAATTTTGTTTTTCTTTGGTTGGGGAAGCTTGTGGATTTGGATGACTCTTGTGTTTTAATGCTAAGTGAGTTGTTTTATTTAGTTTTAAGTGAGTTTTTTTTAGTCAAATGCAGCCCATGTTTGATTCTGAAAGCTTTTGTTTGTTTTATATTCTGAAGGTAAATTGAGGTTTTTGTTTGTTATTCAAATGGGCTTTGTTTGTCTCAGTCTCAAAGTAATGTTGAGTATTAATGTTTTACAACTAAGTTCAAACTAATGTTTTAGTGTTTGACAGCAAAGTTCAAAGTAATTTAAATAACCTTTGGTTGAGTTCTTCTTTGGATTTAAAGGTAATTCAATTCTATTTGGTGGGGTTTGTATATGTTTTTGCTAGGATTTTTGTATCTTTTTTTGGTTGGGTTTAAAGCTGGAGGCATGAGTCCTATAAAGTAAAAATGACATGAAGTGAAAAAGTGTATGAATTAGTTATCTTTGTAGTTGAAAACTGTATGCATAGTAATTAGTACATTGCCAATGACCAAAGTTGTCAAAACTGAAAGAGATTATTCAGTTTTATAAGTGTAATAACGTTTTGTATTTTTATGTTTAAGTTATTTGTTTAATATTTTTTTTTCATGTATTTCTTCTATTAATTGTTTTTAAATAAATAGTGTGAGATCCATTATACTCATGTTGCCTTCTAAATGACTAATTGTTTTTGCTAATACTATCAAAAGGAATACGCTGATTTTATACTTTAAACAACATATTGATTCAAACTTATATAATTTTGTTTACATTTTGGTATTCAAGTTGTAATCGCTTTTTCTTTTACCTTTTTTTTATTTGTTTGAATAATATTTATGAAAGTTAGTTGATATATACAGAATTTTTGTTATTTGAACACCTATCAAATTCTGTCAATGTTTAAGATATGGATTCGTATTCATTTTCAAATTATTAAAAAAATTAATAGTTCCAATCATAATAAAATGAATAGTTCTATTGAAAATAGTTTTATAGATGCCATGCGTTTCAAATTTGAAGTATACACTTTAAACGTAATTTTCTTATATAACACAATTTATGTTGGAAAACTCAAATATATATCTTATATAATTTTCTTAGAACAAGACATAAATGATAATACGTAATTAATTATCTAGGATTTTTATTCTCTAAATGAAAAAGAATAAAATAGTTTAGGAGTGTGATTTCGTATTTGGTGGAATCTGTACAACTTTAGAAACACCATTTTTGGGAAGGATAGACATAAGAAGGTGCTTTTATTTGATAAAATAGTCATAAATTCCTTCTTCTTCTTCTTCTTCTTCTTCTTCTTTTTTTTTTTTTTTTTTTTTTTTTTTTTTTTTTTTTTTGTTGTTGTTGTTGTTGTGTGTGTGTGTGTATTAATATGTCTAAGAATGTGTTTAATTAAATTGGATGGCTTCAAAATTCATTGATGGTAATTTTGTAATTTTTTTATTCTTGTCTAGCTTCTTCTAGCTTTGTTTTAATAAAATCTTGTGGCTCAAAAAGAAAATGTAATTTGTTCGTATTCAACGAATCATCTATGATGTGGTTTTGTTACTTTTCTTCTCTCAAAGTATTAATGTATGGTATTTGACATTATGCTTTCTATGCTCTTAATGTTTGGCTGATTTGGCATCAAGCGAGACTCATCGTTTCATCATCGTTGGCCTTACAATTACAAATATGAAGTATGAAAGATGTGTTTATTGATGATCTATTTTTCCAAATGGATCCAACATATGAAAACACATATCCAACATACACTAAAAGCGAAGAATACATTAATGAATACATTGTCCATTGGAAAGAAAATTGATCATTGAATTGAAGTTAATCATTGTCTCTTGAAAAAGAACTTATTGTCGAAACAAGTTATTCGCCGTCCGCCGCTTTGCGCGGGTAAATGACTAGTATATATATATATATATATATATATATCTGTCTGTTAAAATATCATATCATTTTACTCATGTTGAAATTTTTTTTCATATTTTTCAGTGTTTAATTTATAAGTTTCTCATAAAATATAAAACCACAAACTTATTTTTATAACCAAATAAAGAATTTAATGTATATCTTTTGGGAATCTATTGATACGACAAGTCATAAAGGCATCAAAATTCATTATTATATTTTTTTATATGACTATCGATTCTTTTTACTTTATAAATTTCGCTTAAAAATATTTCTACAAATTATTTATCACAAAACATAATTTATGTATTTAATTAATGATTAGAAAGTTTTATTTTCCATTGACCACCCATACATAAAAATATGAATGATCATCAATCACGTATTGTCGTCTTAGATTGGATATAGTGTTGTTAATTTTTCATAAGTGAATGATCAACCTAACAATCATCGACACTCGACGTTTATAGTTAAATTATTATGGGTATAATGAGCTTAGAAAATATAATATAGTGTTAACAAAGTAAATTGGTTATTCACACATTATTAGTCAATGTACCAACTTTATACATCATGGAATATAGTATATATTAATAGCCAAACATAGTAAGTCCCATTAAAAAATAATATAAGAGAAAAAGAGAGATTAACATCATCACGATGAACAATACCAATATGGAAGCATTGATGGTGGACAGGTCGACAATCGATTCTCCGGTATGCCTTGTATTTACAGTCTCAAACAAAATCCCAACAAGTTTTTGGTAGAGATCAAGGTCTCTCAAAGAGCCTGAACTCCATTCCATTGATGAAAACAAAATAAATTGCAACATGATAAAAGCTAAGACTGTAGTCGCAAGAAGTAACGAGTCTTGGTAAGAAAGAAGATGATTATACCCAAGTACTTTGGAGTTCTTTAACAAGTACCTAGCTTCAGATTTTTTGGTAAAAATCCCTATGGCCCAAATCGTAAGTCTTAGAACTGGAGGGTATAAAGTGTTACCAAATAGGGCTTGAGGGATGAGGATTAACAATAGACCAGAATTTTTTCTAAAGATCATCATGTTTTCGTTAGTTGGAATAAACCCACAGTTGACAAAGGTTGACGTTACAGTGAAGATGGAAAAAGTGAGTGCCCTTATATCCTTCTGCTTAAGTATATTTTTGGCACTTGAGATGACATTTACATATATGAAAACTCAAACCACACCCAAAATTTGGACAAATACCAAGTAAAAGAATACTACAAGACCCAAAAACTTGAAAGATTTGTACTTTAAATCCTCCATATCGACATCATTTGTAGAGACAATTTCACAGTTAAAAGTGTCAGATTTTGAACTTCCAGATTCACGGATGACTATTTTATGGAGCTCTATATTATCCAAACAAATAGATTGAGTGTTGAGGTAACACATAGGGGGATCTACGTTACAACCATCATTACTAGATTCTTTTAAAAAAAGCCGACGAAGATAGACAATTACCATAGAAATGAACACCTCACCACCGATAACCATAAGAATTGTGAGAACGACAAGTTGGGTGTTGGAAAAAACCTCCATCTCAACAGTGGACATGCTGGAAACAGTGGCTGCTGAGACAGAGGTGAAGAATAAGTCTATGTTACAAGGGGTGAAGGTGGTGGTTTTTACGTCCATTGACTGGAGGATAAAAAAACCCTATGGACGAAATAAATAGAAAATAGAACAAATTTATTGGAAGTTGGTTTCCACCTAGATGAGACCAAGTAGAACGACAAAGAGAAGGACTACAAAGTTGTTCCAACATCTTTCCCACATAGGAAAATACTTTCATCTTTTCGTCTATAGGAGGACTCGACATAAACTTGTATATGTCGAAATGAAAGAGTGAGTGATGAGCTAGATGTTTGGAGCTTTATATGGATGGGAAAGCATTCAAAATTAGTAATGTTGCTTAATGCTTTCTTTTCCAATTATAAACAAATGGACGTATATCATTTATTATATTTTTAGTTTGCATTTATTCCAATTTGTATCAAATATTATATTCTATTCCTATTAGAAAATATCTGTCAAATAAAATATTCACAAAATTACAAAAATAGTCCATGTGTTTCATCAAAAGTCACACACTCATCTCCGTCAATTTTTCTTATACAAATGGTCTATGTGGTTTCTAAACTTGCACGAATAATCCCTATGGTTTCTAAAAGTATCACGGTTTGTCCCTAAGCAAATTGAAATGACCTTTTCTACCCTTTTTAATTTATATTATATGTTTTCTTAATTAAACATAACTTAAAGAGAAAAAGAGAAAAACGTCTCCTTCTCATTTGGGTTAATGTTGTCGGAGAACTAGATCTCAAGCAAACATCTTTATCACGTTGCTGAAAAACTAGATTTTACACCACCATCAATGTTATCATGTCATCAGAGAATCCTAGATTTTGAGCTTAAATCTCCATTCAGTTATAAGACCCACATTACCGTCTCGAGAATCTTTCACAAAATTGTATACAAATATTGTGAATCGGTAAATGCACAACCAAACATCAAGAGACTATATATGATTGGCGACATCACATGGTCGCTTTTCTAAAACCATATCTATCGAAGAACCATCGTGCCACAACACTGATCACAAATTTCTATTTCAATTTTAAGTTGGAAAAATCACTAAATCAAATTTGATTTCACGCCACATATATCAGGTTAAAAATCCTTAGTCGGTCACCCTCTCCTTTCTTTATGCAAGTCTCTCCATTAAAGAAACTGCTTTAGGTAACCCTAAAGAAATGGCCATTCCTGATATTCCTGGTTCTTATAGTTTTCAACACTAAACCTGTTGATCGTCCAAAATGAAGTGGGTTCTCTCTTAAATTTGCTTTAAGAGGTATGCGATTAAAGTAGAGGAAATGGGGAAAACATACATGCACCATTTTCTTCCCGCAACTATAAGGATGTTTTCCCTCTACAAAGCCACCGATCATGAAAATATAAAATTGAATATTCCAATAGCCACTTATGATTTATGAATTTTTCAGGTCAGATTATGATTAATGTTTAATTTGATTGTTTTGATTGAACTCACCAATTCATCGCCATCATCAAGCAAGAACAAACCCAAATCAGATTCTTGTATTTATGTGTTCCTCTATATAGTGGCGAATCTAGAACAAAAAATTGTGTGGTTCCAAAATTAAGTGAGGCCAATAAAAAATCAACAACACTTTTGGGGTCGGGTCGGGTCGGCTCATGTACCTTAAAAGAACCGAACCAGTTCAATCGGCTCATGTACCTTGTGCCACCGATTAAAAATTTTAAAAAACCGATTGACATATAACTAAAAAATGTGTACGATTTAACGAAAAACTACTTGATTATTAGTCCATTGATAAAGCGGCGAATGGAGAGTGAGAGTCTTTGACATGTGGGCTTTCATTTTATTAGAACAACTTATTCATTATTAATATTTTGAGAGTGTCGATTAAGAGTGGTTAACATTTTGTTATCAATCACATAATTTAAAATAAAAAATTGCCCTAATGACTTATATATTTCTCTTTTTAAAATGGTTTTTTAAGAAATTTTTTTAAAAAACAAACTCAAGGTAGGTCCTTTATTTTTTCTAAGGTAGTTCCTAATTTTTCTATTGTATACATTCTAAACGAAATTGAGAAATTACGTAGGTCCTAGGACCTACCTAAGCATATGGTGGATACGCCCCTACCTCTGTATCTAGAATTCCCTTGAAGCAAATCGAAATTTGATTTCGATTTCTAGAACAAACATCGACACCCAGTGGACCATTGTTATTGTATTTGCATGGCCCTCTTCTTGACTATATTGGCTTTAAGGAAACCATACTACTAGAAAGATTGAAAGATAGAGTGTGTGGATCTTCGTGCTACATAATGTTAATTCACAAAAACCTGTATAGAATTAGATGTGTAAAATACTAATCAAGTATATGGAAAAACAAGGACCATGATCTAACGTCTACAATCGATGAAAATGATGAAGATGGAAAGAACATATCCAACTGAAACTCAAAATCCTAATGAAACTCGACATAAGATATGCGTATGAGTTACACAATCTCCTGATCTGATAACACTTGTTGGGTTAAACCTCAAGAACAATTTGATGATAATAATGCAGAATATAAGAACAAACACAATAATGAAGATGTGATTGAAGATCAAAATATTTTATTCAAGAACATGAGGAAATTACACTATAAGAAAATATTAAAGTAAATCTATTCTACCTAAGAAACCTCATTATGATTAGCGGCTACATCTTGCCTCACTCTTAAACCTAATATTTTATTCAAAAAAATTGTTATGCTTTTATACCAACTGGTGAAACAATAACCTTAAGATTGACAGATTCTTAACAGTATTGTGAGTCGAAGACAAGAATGATGATCAAAGTTGTGCCGAATGCTTAATATTATCAAAGCTTTAGAAGAGTTCAACGTGAACTTTTCTGTAAAAGCTAAGTAGGACAATACAACTTGTTAACTCTAAACAGATACATACATGCACCTTAAATAGTCTAACCCTAGCACCATAAATACGGATGGACAAGCCGAACCCGTTAATAATTAAGACTATTAATTACAAAACATTTTGACACAATACATTAAATAACCCAACACATCTACATATAAGAAAATATTCACTCAAGCTCTAGTAGCATCATCAAATCTACTATAAACACATTTGTCACATTGGTTTGTCTTGAAAACAGAAGACAAAATAACTTCATCAAATTTTTAATGCCATTATTTATCGGGCATAATGAAACCTCCTGGTTGTTTCATATAAACTTCCTTATCAAGATCACCATTTGAAAAGGCATTCACATCCATTTGGTGAATAACCAGATAGTGGATACTTGCCAAGGTAATCAACAATCTAATAGTAGAAATACATGCAACCGGAGCATACATATCAAAACAATCAACACCGAGTTTTGTCTAAAACCTTGAATGACTAATCGGGCTTTGAACTTGTCAATAGTCCCATTAAAATTCGCTTTCATTTTGAAAATCCATTTGCAACCAAGTGGTTTAGAACCTAGAGGCAAATCAGACAACACCCATGTGTTGTTCTCAAGAATTGATGGCATTTCATCATCAATTGCGTCCTTCTAAAAGGCACTATCGCGAGACTCCATGGCCTCTTGATATGTCTTAGGATCATCTTCAATACTATAGCAATAAGAGTATTCAAGATTAATTTCATCCTTTGAACCTTGCACCAAATATAGTTGGAAGTCCGATCCAAAATTTTTTCACAATTTGGCCTCTTTTGCTTCTATGAAGCTCTTGTGGTTCTTGTACATTACCACCATCTTGACTTTTTGAATTTTGCACTTTATTAGTACCAAAAATAAGATCCTTGGGCCTTTGAATTGATGAAAAACGCATATCATAAAAAATTGCATCCCATGATTCGATAACGATGTTAATCGAAACTGAATCATTAGGTTCTATTACATAAAACCTATACACATTGGAATATGTTTAGCATATCCAATGGATATAATATCAATTCCACGTTCTCCCAAAATTTTCATTTTGGGCTCCAAGAATTTTACAACTGCTCGACATCCCCAAACCCGAAAGTAACTTAGATTTGGTTTTTTCTTGAACCAAAGTTCATATGGGACTGTTTTGTTCCTTTTATTTGAAACCATATATAATAAATAGTCAGCCGTTAATATGGCATCTCCCCTAATCCATCACTCAATCCCGAGTATGACAAAATTGAGTTTACCACTTTTTTTAAAACTCGATTTTTACAGTCAACAATACCATTCTGTTGGGGTGTGTAAGGTGTCGTGGTCTCATGAATGATACCCACTGATTGGAAGTATATGTGATCCATATATTCACCTCCCCTTTCAGTCCTAAGACATTTAACCGGAATGCCCAATTGTAATTCCACCTCGGTTTTGTATATTTTGAATTTATCTAAGGCTTCATCATTAGAATGTAACAAATACACATAGCAAAACGGAGTGTAGATCAATAAAAGTGACTACATACTTTTTGTTTCCCAAAGAAGGAGTGGATTGAAAATCACACGGTCGCTATATATTAGTTCCAAAACAACTGAATTTCTACTGACACTAGGAAAGGCTTGTTTTGTCACTTTTGTAAGCATGCATGTTTTACATTTATCAGATGACATATCAAAGGATGGAATTAATCCATGACATGACCTAATCTTACATGCCAAAGCATAGATTTATCAACATTAGAAGTAGAAGTTAAAAATGCAGAATTTTGAATAGGTAATGATTTGTCACCAATATTCAAACGAAACATTCTATTATTTAAATATCCAAAGCCAACCAACATTACACCATTAGAAAAATTAAACTTATCTGACTCAATAACCTGTTTAAAACCATCAGAATTCAAACAACTTGAACCAACAACATTCTTACGAATCTTGGGAACAAACAAAACATAAAAAACCTAACTGTCTTTCCAGAAGTAAATTCAAGACACACAACACCTAAACCACAAATAGGAATAAAATAATCGTCTCCCATTTTTAGCACCGACCCATCTTCAAGCGAAGTTAATTTTTTAAACATTCGTTTATGCTTGCATACATGGTTCGTTGCCCCGGAGTCAATCTACCAAGCAACATCATCATCCTGTACATAGAATGATTCAGGAATGAATGAAACATAGTAAACATAATTCTTATTAGAACTATCAAAGTTAGTAAAAAACTAACCTCCTTTAACTTGGACCAAAGACCCGTTCACTTTCCCATTGGCTCCACTATTTCAAGCACCATTGTTGCCTAAATTCATACGAAAATCATGCTTGCAATG